GCAGATTTGTCTAGATGGTAGATGTTCAACATAAATAGCACACAAAGTAAACACACACACCTAAGCACATCATTGTGTCCCATCAATGTTGTGGAATCCATCATCCAGTTTTACCAACACACCCTGTCTTCAACCACAGACGCGAAATATTTCGTGCAAATTCACTCGACCGTATGGTCCATTAAAATGATACTAACAGCGTGTAGACGATAAAGAAGAGGGACAAGATAAGTAGAGGCAGCAATGCCTCTATTTATCCTGTCACTTTTCCTTATTATCTATACAATGTTAATACCTTTAAAGGGCCCATGAATCGCCTTCGATAATTGTTTAACACTTCAAGTAAATGTGTACGTTGAGTTCGGAATGCTGTTGTGATCAACAATGCCAAGAGCCACCAACACGTCACTGAAAAAAAACCTTCTCCTCTCAAGTCTTTTGGTATCCCCAGCGTCGACGGTGATGCCATCACTCGCGTCTGGTCGCGCCGGCAACTAAAAGAATCTGTTTGTCTACTCACAACTCTGGATGCTTGCCGCTCTTCCTCCTCGCACGGTGAGGAAGAGATAAGCCAGAAAAAGAGATAAGCCAATGAATGGAGCACAGTGAAGAAAAAAGTAAAGTGAGCAAGAACCACTTTTTGGATCACGAAACTCCGCTATTAAGGTACTGTTTCCAAAATTCTCACATCTACGTGTTTGATGTACACTTATGCACAGCTGCAACACCACAACTTAACTTTGACTTATGAATGACTTAGTGGTCATTTAATGAATTCTCACCAACTCGCCCAAGCTTCAGTTATTCTAAACCATACAGTGATCATATTTAAGGGGTGGCATTCCAACATTAACGCCCACTATGACAGCTCGGACTATAAGGGCCAACCTTGAGCTGGATGTTGTCGCGGATTAGGTCCTGCTGCCGTGCATCGAGGCCCCTCAGCTTTCCCTGGTAGGCAGACACTTCCTGGCGCATGACGGACGCCGTGTAGCGGCCAAAGCGCTGCCACTCGCGCGCCAGCTTTCGCCCTTTCTGCCGGTCGTCATCCAGAAAGCAGCAGAGGTCGCGCAGTTCCTGGCTGTCGCGTTGAAGCCGCTCGTTCACCTCACGCAGCTGCCGGATCTCCATCAGGTGCACCTTGCGCAAAAGCAGACACAGAAGAAGAAACGGTTAAAAAGAAAAAAACAGAAACAATCCAAGTAATAACAAATCGACAACCAGCTTTAATCTCCGTTTTGTCGTGCAAGTCTATGCTCACCTGCATGCGGCGGTTGACATCTTGCATCATTGCACCATGATCGTACATAAGCTTCAGGTTCTCCGCTTCGACTTTCTGCAGCCAGCGGAGAATCTCCTGGGGCGGCTTGCGCAGCAGCTCCTCGTTGCTGGGCCGTCCTCTAGGTGTCGCTACAGCAGCCATGCCTTGCGGGCCCTCGGGGCCGGGCTTGGCTGCTGCCGGTGGCTTGTCCCAACCGTCCTGTCCCTTGGCTGTGTTCCGGATCATTCATGGTCTGGGGCTCACGACAGGGTGGTTAGTTGCCAGCCGCAGCTTGCTGCAAGGGTGTAATGCAGACGGACAGCAATCATTTACATGGACTACCATGCTGTGTCTAGGTGGCAATAAAAAAAAGAAAAATAGATTAACCCGAGGTGTCACTGGAGCCAATGTTTCGACAATCGCGCTTGTATACTGCAAGACTGCAACTGTTGCAGCAATATAGTCGCAGTCTTGAAGACAAGTTTGCTAGTCAAACTTGTCTTCATGTAAGAATTTTTTATACTTGTCTGTAGGTGAAATGTTTTAGAATAGCTTCAGTGACTCATACTCTTCAAGGGAACCTCAAATAGAAAAACAATTTTTCCCATATTAGTAATTTACATTTTCACAATATCAGATGCACAATGCTTGCAGCGAGAATGCACTTATCACAAAAAGATGATGTGAGTGGCGACACCATCTCGAAGTTCCTGGGCTAGCTGCCGTGAGGTCATAAATTTTGACGGTGTTACTTAGGTCAGCGTTGGTAAGAGTGAAGGAAATTGTCTTCTGAGAGCAAGAGGCCTAACATACAAAGCTTCAGGTCATTTCTTTGAGCTAATGTGGCCAAAATACAAAGAACACCGAGATCCATGATGTCACTATGAGAAATTTCTTCAGATAATTTTCTACGGCAGAGCGAAATGTTGAAATTGCTTTTCATCTATTAGTATACCTATGGTGGTGATAACAATAACACTGGAGTAACTAGAGTATACTTATCCAAAATGATTGATTGTTAACATTAGTGTCCTCGTAACGTGCCCAGTTATTATCTGGTATAAGTTCTTGTAGCATACAGTCAAAAATGAATTCAATGGCCGCAAAGTGGTGTAGTGCCGCTGTCTAGTGCGTGCAACACATGCTCGTGCCGACCAACCGACAGTAGAAGCGAATGATTAGATGAATGCTCAAGTTGTATGGCTCAGGACACGTGTCCACAAATGCATCTTTACGCCCTTTTTCTTTCCATTGAGTACATCTGAAATCGGACTAGTTTATATGCCTGAACTAGAATGGTCGGTTGAACCTGTTGAGTGCCCTCAGAAGTGACAAATGCCACATTGGATCAGCTATCCGATTTGGACGGGCGGCTGGGCTGGCTATATTCAACAAGACCAGACAAGCTTTGAAAATGTTTTAGAACAAGGTGTCAGCACAGTGAGCATGCAGATATATGACATGGGCAGATAACCGTGGTCCATTCATTCGCATGCACTGATGCACAACTTCTGTTCTCTATTACGAAACTAGCTAAGTGAATAGAGTAACACCGCGGGGCATTATGGGTAACGACATTTAGCCGGAGCTTTCAAGCACTGATTGTGTCCGTATTATTACAGCACGCCTTCATCACTAACATTACCGCTTCAAGGTGAACACTCGACAGCATGCGTTGGTTGGAAGCGTAGGGTTTCGTTACACGACATTCCACCAACTGCGCATGCGCACTCGGCGGTATACGTGAACCTACGATCTCGAATAGATGAAGCACCACACTCATGTTAGTGACTATGGGGACCAGCACGGTGCAATAACGATAAACGTTGTACGTGATTAAGCATTAGCACGGCAGAAAAAACTTCATCGCTAAACCACTACAACGCCCGCACACCTGTCTTGACGTCACAAGCAAGCGCCGCGACAAAATCTTGCACAAACCTCAAGAGGCAGCCGTCTCAACGCTTAGCGAAAGGAAAAAAAAAAAAAAAAAAAAGGGAACGCAACGCGAGGTCGAACGAACAGCACAGGTCACCCAGCACAAGCTGTTCAGGTTCGCGACGTTTACCAACGTACTCGTGTACTACGCACTTCAGGCACCGCCGCCGGCTTTTGCGTTTGTCGCGTAATTGGCGGCCCGCTGGAAGTCGTGGTGCGCCGCTCCATTTTATATTTTTCTTATATCGCGCTCTTCACAACTCCGTCGCCCCGGTAACACACACTCTTCTTCGAAAAAAAAAAAAAAACCTCCGAAAGCTGACAAATCCAAAGGTCAGGGAGACGGGAGCGTGCGAAGGCAAGCGGCGGCACGTCGTGCCCCCGTACGTGTTTCAAATATAACGATCAACAAATAAAAGCAAAAAGCGATCACGCACTCCCGTCCGTCCGCTTCGGCGAACTCTTGTCACGGCGGGGTTATGCCCTCCCAACTTTCGACACCGGCCTACAGGACTCAAGTTCGCCGCGCAACTTTTTGCCAACAGATCGCGATTAAAACGAACGCGTTACAACACGTGCTCCCAACGATAACGACGCAACAGGTAAAGTACTACGAGAGCGCGGATCGAGAAACAGCCTGGCCGAGCGCGAACAGTCCCAACCGACGACGTGCCACGAACCGAACGTTAATTTCGAGCACGATCGAGCGATGGCGATTGAAAAAAAAGCAGACACGCATGCACGCCCGACGAGCGTGGCGGACAGCTACACGTGACTTACCTGTCTCCAAAGTGTCGCCGCGCGCGAGTTGCATGAAGTTTTCGGATCCGATTCGTGTAGCGTATTTACATACGGTCAACATGGCAACGAAAGTAAACAACAAGAACGAAGGTATGCGGCTGTTCCATCTGGCGTGCGGCGATGAAAAAAGTGTAGCTGTGCCAACTGCCAACTATGCATCAAAAACGTCTGCGCACATTTACTGACGCTCACGGCCTTTATTGTGCAACAACAAAACTAGATTTGTTATTATTTAAAATAAATAATGTCAAATGCAGTTGTATTCTAACGCTACAGATGCGCGACCACTAGTGAACACTAATTATGAAACAATACAGAACGTTTTTAGCTTTAAGTTTGTTGCCTGTGAAATAAAAAGTTTTGAAATCTAATGCTCGTACAGTTGTCAAGCAAATTGTTTATACTGATTCATGAGCACTTACTTTTTAAACGTTAATTTATTTTGCAGAAATTTGCTGTTTCTCCGTCCTGACCACGGTGTCCTGACGGTGTTTACTGCAGGGAGGAAAGCGCTATCCCGGGAACAGCAAAGATGGCGGCTTTCTCTTTCGTTTCTCGTTTTTGTTTTCGTACGAGAAGCGCGCCCGGCAATTTGACTCGCGGGGTCATGCGTCGAGCAAAATGTGCGGCCTTGGAACGTCCAACATGAGCCCCAGATTGTGATAGATCACGAACCGGGCTTCGCGTTAGAAAACTACAAAATGGACGTTGGGATCGCGAAAACATCTCATGGTGGCCCGGCGCCGGCACACGAAGCAACATCGTGCGCGCGTCAACATCGAAAAATGATTCTTCCGGCGGATCAAAGTATGCTTTGAAGGTCTGTATGGACGTTCGAAAAATCAGATAGCAACTGTATGATTATGTTGTCATGTTTATGCGAGTAACAAAAAGTTATTGTTGGGGTTTTACGTTCATGAAAACCATGATATAATACGAGGACGCTGTTGTGAAGTGATCGGAAATTTTCGGCCACCCGCGGTTCTTTAACGTGCACCTTAGTCTAAGTCCAGGAGCCGAAGAATTTTCACATTCGGAACGGTTTTGCGCTGCTTGCTTTTTCACCTCGGACGCTGACGAAGAGTATTCTGAGAGACGGGACAGGCGAGCTGGCAAACGCATTAGCTGACTCGCGCACAACTGCAACCCGCAACTAATTTCGACCTCTGCGTAGTTTAGTTGAAGGCGAACGACGTGTTTTTTTTTTTTTTTTTACAATCAGGCATACAACACAGAGCTCGGTAAACAAGCATCAAAGCCGCGTGCTGGGTGATAATAAGGCGCCGTGAAAAATAGGAACACCCTGCCAAGCGTTCGAGGTAAAGACTAAATCGCAGCGCCTTTGCACTTTCCCACGAGGGTTTCAAACGAACATCAAACGCCCTCTTCTCCCCGCGCGTGCCTTTCCAATATTCATAAATAGAAGACCCGTCTGGCAGCCCACTCAGTTCTTCCAAGACTGCCTGGAAGACCACAGAAATGAAAGAAGCTAGAAGAACAGCATGAATACAATGTTCGAAAAAGGCAACAAAGTTCTCAAGCTGAAAATGGATCGCGAAACCAATCATGGTCTACCTATGGGACCATAAAGCGATTTCATTACCATCACTCTAAAGCACGGCTCTAAAGTAATAATAAAACATACCCCCTCCCCTTAATCAGCATATGTGGTGTTTGAAACAGCATCGCTGGGAATTCCCGTTCGTGGGGCAAGATGGAGGCCTTTTTTTTTTTTCGTTTTGCTAATAGCTAAGGTACGCAAGAGGGGCGATTGATGTATGGCTCGTTTCTTTTTGTTGCACACAACTTAATCAAAGCAACAGGCAATGAGGCTCAGGAAGGTTTAATGGACATAATTGTATGTTTTAACTGTAGCACAATAATTCTGACTATACAGAAATGAATTGAAGCTAAGGCAGCAGGCCGAGACATAGTATAGCACAGATGTACTGAAAATATTACATTGTTATAAAAGCGGACAGCCGACGTTAAACATAAGTGGGCTACGTTAATTCACAGTTGACAAACAGCTGGCCAGAGCGGGAATCAATACGGTGGGCATGACACGGATCTTTTCAAAATTTATTAATCGTGCAATGTTTCCGTCTTATATTATAATTGGTTGATACGTATGCCCTGCATTTCTTACTATCAGGCCCATGACAGGGGCTTCTGGGGTACATAAAGCCATCATTACTTTGACATGTTCAAAAAAACCGCCGATGTTGGCCTTTAAGGGCGCGGACGCAGCTATATATATGGGCAGTTGAACGGGCCCATGACGTGGCGGAGAGGTTAGGCCTATCTGTCCGACGTGGAGCGTCTCGCTACGTGCTAATTCAAACCCGATGTACCTAAATACATTTTTTTTCACACCATACTCTCTTAGTGATTATGACGAGGAAAAGAAGAGCAAAGTGCCACCCTTAACTGAATCTCGTTTTAAAGGACGCCTCAACAGGTCGGCACTGGAATAGGGTAATGTGATTTAAAAAATATAAGGGAAGGAAGTACATGTATACCTAAGTGATCGTTTTTCCGTGTTTTGACACAATATTAATCAGATCTAACAGACATAATGCTAAGAAGCGTATAGGGGGAGTTATTAGAACAAATGTAATGTAATAAGAAGAAAGAAAAGTGGGTGAAAAATAGTCATCCGTGAGCAGGAGTTGAACTACGACCTTCGAATAACGCGTTCGATGCTCTAACCACTGAGCTATATAAAAATACATACCGGCTTCTTGGCCAATCCGCCATAGTGGGTAGGAGCCAAGGAACAAGCGAGCAAGCCAGCCATCAACGACGAAGAGAAGAAGAAGGTGGCGCCGGCGCCTGAATTCGGCGGACGCGAGCGGGCGGCCCAACCGACGCCATGGACGACAGTAAGTGCCTTTCAATATACTTTCCACCTTCATTATCCACATACAATGAATACTGCTATTGTATGATCCTTATTTCACTGAAGGGGCGCGCCTGCAACCGCCAAACCACTTGTGTCGACGTCGAAGGTCAAGAGACCACAGTCCCCGCGAAATCCTTGAACTTCCCGCCAATTGTGACTGTATTCGGTCTAACTGCGAAGCACGGGTTGTCGGCACGTTGCATAACATGCAGAAAATCTGAATTCGCGGTTTCTCTGCTGAAGCAGCCGCTATACTTTGCAATCAGTGAGATTGGGGTAGTTGAGCTGCTTCACTAACAGGGCCTATGAAAATTCAGAGGGCCGTGTACTATGCGATGGCAGTGTGCTTTAAAGAATATCATGTGGTCGAAATTTTTGGGAGCCTCCCACCGCGGTGTACTTCATATCGTGGTTTGGGAAGCGAACTTCAGATATTATTATTGCTATTACGCTTATACTCTGGCTGGTAACTGTATAGGTGGCATACAGCTGTATAGGTGGTAACTGTATAGAGGAACATTTGATTGGAGGCTTTGTTCCCAGACTAAATGGGTATAGGGTTTTGCCAATATGGCCGATCCGGCAAAGCCCCGCAAGCGTTTTTTTCTATTGGGTGGTGAGGCCGTAGACTGTGTTGAAGTCTACATAAATGAAATGGGCCTAAAGCTCTCGCCAGCAAAGTCCGAACTTCTCTTATATCGACCCACGAGACGGGGACCCAAACCCGAAAACTGGCAACCACTGGCTGACATCGACATTAGGCTGCACACGGCATCGGGGCAGCGTATTCAAGGGTGGACTTCATACGCGTTCTGGGCATGATTATCGAGGCTAATGGACAAAACGACCGCACGATCGACCGTCTGACTTCTAAGGCGGAAGGGGTCATCCGACTAATCTCACGCATTTCCAACAGTCGGGGTGGTCTTCGAGAGCACAACCTCCTCAGACTATTCCATGCATTCTTGATGAGCCACATAAGCTATGTCGCATCTATGCACAGGTGGCAACCATGAAAGAAATAAATTGAACATCCTCATAAGGAAAAGCATCAAGAAAGTTCTTGGCATTCCTATGCGCACAAGCACTGAGAACCTTACGAAACTTGGAGTCCACAACACGCTTGAGAAGTTATCGAGGCTCAACAAACGGCACAGGCTGCCAGGCTTTCGATCACAGCGGGGAGAAAGATTCTGATTGACACTGGAGTCAACCCCCTGACGCTCGAAGTGCAAAATACGCCACTCGATGATATATACGCTCTTTGCTCGCTTTGCGGTAGTATCCGTAGATACTAAGGGTCAGATTTTATCCTCGGCGTCGGTTCGAACCCTTCTTCTTACAAAGCAGAACAGATGGCCATTGCACTACCACTCCTTGATCCACAAAGGACTGATATTTATACGGACTCTAAATCCGCTGCTAGGGCCTTCGCTTCTGGTTCCTTTGCAAGGAAGTTTTGAGAATTCTCGCTCACAAGGAACTCACCACCACACAATTATTTGGTTCCATGCTCACCTTGGCTTGAGGGTTGGAGGCCTTCCCAATGTCAACGAGCTAGCCCACTCCAAGGCGCGAGGCTTCACTTACCGCGCCGGGACTTGTGCTTCTCAGACAGAGGAGTCAGCCACCAGCCTTCATTTTAGGGACATTTTGACTACCTCAACGAGATCACGAAGTATTATCAATTAGGCCGTACGTCATTTCCGTTGCCACACGAAAATTGTCTAGGCCACAGGCAATCTCTCTTGGCATGCTTCAGACGGAACATACCCTAGCCTCGTAACCTATAGCCATTACTCCGATATTTCAGAACTTTGTCCAGACTGCCAGAATCGCAGTGATTTAACCACATGCTCTGGAGGTGCCCCTCTTACAAAGAAAAAATGAAGAATTTTCTGAGAACTCCTTTCATTTAATGCTCACGAGTTCGGTTCTCATACAACAACTCAAGGCTGTCCAGAAGGCCCACGATGCGTGGTGAGGCTGGGCTTCCCCGTCCCAACGTGGGAGCGGCCCGCATCTTACCCCTAAAACGGGTGTGGAATCCTTCAGGACCCCAATAAAGTTTTTCATCCATATTGGGGGTGGCTTGAGTAGTGGTGCATTGGCTGTCTAATGTTGAATTACATTTTTTTGCAGCGCAATCAAGCGA